GACGTCATTTTTGATTTTAGTTTTTATGAATTTTGTATAACAGTTTTTTCAGTTTGATAATGGTTTATACTATATAAGCCAAAATATCACCATATAATAATAAAGATAATATATAGCCGAACATGATGTTTTTAATCAATTGAATATAAAATATATTATTAACGATGTCACTTAAACAATATATATATATATATATATATATATATATATATATATATATATATATATATATATATATATATATATATATATATATATATATATATATATATATATATATATATATATATAACTTCCAATAACTCAAACCTCCAGGGGGCCAAGAAATCAATTCAAGTTAGAGAATGTTTGAGTTATCGGAACATTCAATATGTCAAAATATTTCTTTTGAGTGATATGCAGAAAATTAAATAAATTTGATTTCATAAAAAAAATTAATCACTTTAATAAGACGTTGTGTTATTTTTCTTTTAAAGATCAAGTTATAGGTAAAATATCAGCCACTGGGACAAATAAAACAGTTTGACTTATCAGGTGAATGTTCGAGTTATCAGGGGCTTGAGTCATCGAGTGATTTTTATAAGAAAGTGTTAGTAAGGGCTCAAGGGGAACTCGAAAGTTTTTCGAGTTATCCGGGGTTCAAGGTATCAGGAGTTCACTGTTGTCAATGATGTTTTTGATAAAAAAGAAACTATTTGTAAATGTAATGCTAGTAATATAAGTTGGATTCAGTTTCATTTGTACAATACATTTTTTTTATCTTTATTAAAAACTGATGAAATTCCTTTGTTTTTCAAAATATTATTTAATTATGACAACTCTGGTTATTTTGCGGTAAGCTGCTACTTTGTGACATCTGCATATATGCACATATATTTATTTTGCACATTCAGAGTTAAAGAGTATGAATCTTTGCCAATATGTTTACCAAATGAAGTTTGATTATCAACTGCTTGATACATATATACTACAAGATGACTGTACCTATATTGAGTCTAAATACATGGTTACCATCATGATTTTTTTATTTTATTCTGATTCACTCCTAATAAGGCTGCAAGCAACCACTATTAAGTTGGGAGTTACTAGAAAAAAATAATATAGTTATAGAGCAAGGAGACGGTTAACAGAAGAGTTAAAAAGATGTAGTTTGTATGAGTCAGGAAAACACGAAGATGAGAGAGAGCTCCAAAGGTTTGAAAAAAGATAGATAGTTTTAAGGGTTGAAAGAGCTTTAAAGCGTGTGGAAAAAAACTAGACGAATATAAGTTTTTGGAGCATGCAGGGACAAATACAGTAAAATGAATGAGGCTTTGTTAAATGAAGAGTCAAGCGAGAATGAGTTTTAGTACATGGAACTAGAGATAAAAGCTTCTTAGAGCAGTGACCATGATAGTATTTGTAGAAAAGAGAAAGATCTAACTTTAAAATGATGGGAAAGAGGCTTGAGCTTAGAAGATAGACCAAGTCCAACTATATTTACAATGCATTTTTCATCTAGAAAAGAAAGAGCATCATAAGAAGAGCCAGCCCAAATATGACAACAGTTTTCCATACAGGGGCTAATAAGAGATTAGTAGAGGTGAAGAATGGAATCAGGAGAGATGAAATGATGAGCACGAAGAAGTGAGATCAGATTCAAGATTGGCTGCCTGTTCTAAGCAATCTAAAACAGAAGACTTTTTGTCAAGACAGGAGTATAAAGTTGAGTCATCAGCAAAAAGAGTTACCTTATATGTAATGTTGCTGGAAAAATTAATAATTTAGATAGAATAATTTAGAAACAAAACAAGGCCAAGAATAAAACCTTGAGGTACCCCAGAAGTTACTGGAAATGAATAAGAGTGTTGGCTTTTGATGATGAGCTTTATAAAGCCATTACAAAGAAACGATTTGATAATCTCAAAAACTCTTCCAGATACACCATATGAATCAAGCTTATGGAGAAGACTAACATGCCAAACTTTGTTGAAAACCTTAGATATGTCAAGAGCAATAGCCCTTGCCTCTCAGCCTTTATCTAATGCACAATCTTTCAGTCACAGTAGTTAGCCACATAGCAAATCGATGAGCGAGAGGATCGAAAACTGTATTGATTGTCTGACAGCAAGTCATTTGACTCAAAATGGAATATGAGATGTTTAAACGAACAGGCTCCTTTCTGTCTACTAACTTAATGAGAGCACAATCATAAGTTCTCATACCTACATTGAAGATTGTCTTCATATTTATGCTTTGAAATTTGAAAAAAAGAAATGTGTTTATAAATTGTATTTGAGTTTCAGGTGATGAAAAAGTTATTATTTAAGCATTTTGCAATAGATATCTTATCTACTAATTGCACTCCATCGTGCATTCAACATCGTGGTCGAAAAGAGATCGAATTTCACTTTAACAAGCCTTTTTTGGACAAGACTTACAAGCATATATATATATATATATATATATATATATATATATATATATATATATATATATATATATATATATATATATATATATATATATTTATATATATATATATATATATATATATATATATATATATATATATATATATATATATATAAATCTTTATTCAAAATTGATTTGCATTACAAATAATGAATTGTACAATATTATCTATTTTGTTATTTCTCTCTCTCTCTCTCTCTCTCTCTCTCTCTCTCTATATATATATATATATATATATATATATATATATATATATATATATATATATATATATATATATATATATATATATATATATATATATATGTATATATATATATATGTATATATATATATATATATATATATATATATATATATATATATATATATATATATATATATATATATATTTATTCCATTATTGAATTTTAGATAATTCTTCAAACGAATGCGACTTCAGAAATCTCACGTTTATTCGTACAGCTAATTTCAAGCAAAAACATTTATATATTGGACATTGGATTTAACACTAGAAAACCTTTTTTATAATTGATGATATATTTTTATAAACATAGATATATTGGATTGTAAAATAAAATTTATTTTTGTTAATTTTTTAAAAATATTTATATCAATTGTTTAAAAAAAGTTTTTTTTTCTTTATTGCCATATTTTGAAAAATATGTAAAATACTTAGGAAAGTCGTTATTTGCATTTCTATTTTGGCCTTAAGTAACTAGCTTAAATATCTTAAATAATTATAATTAAATATTAAAAATCTATTAAATAGTTATATATTATATAAATATCAGATAATAAAAAATGTTCAAGAAGTCAAAAAAGTATCCGTGCAACGAAGTAATAATGCAAAAATATTGAACGGTTCGTTAAAAAACTATAACGGGTTCTTTAAAGAACCTTATTTTAAGGTTCTTCCGAAGAACCTTCGTAAAGGGTTCTTTGAAGAACCTCTACGAGTTCTCAACCAGCGTCAACACGAAGAACCCTTGAAGATTTTTTGAAGAACCATTCGGGTTTAGAGTGTAGATACGATATAAATGAAATGATTATTATTAGATTTTAGCAGCCGTGGCACTTAAACGGCTCGAAGCCGTTTTTTATTTATTTGAAGACATTTGCTAATTTGAAAACATTAAATGTTGTGAAGCGCTTTAAAATCTATTGTTTGTTTACCTGTTAAAAAAAGAACTAAATTTATATGAGTAAAAATTTATGCAGAACTTCTTTTTTTAAACTCTTTACAATTAATTTCTTTTGTTTTTAATTTAAATTTAAAAGTATTATCACTATTTTTACTTTGTAAAAGTTAATAGCCAGGAATAAATTCGCAATGGCCATGTTTTGGATCTCTGGCCATGATTTGATGTTTTTCACGCCTTCTAATATTTGTGCTAAAACTTATTAACAAAAGCTTCCAAACTTGTCATAAATTGTATCTCAAGAGGTTTTTTAAGAGTTTAAAAATATTTTTAAGAATCTAAGCGATTCGCGGTAACATGAAGCAGTTTAAAATTAAGCGGCCATGATTTGATGGTTTTACCCTAAAAAAGTTTATTTAAAATTAGAGATCGTTACTTTAAGCAGTATATAGTGCATTTTTGGTACTTAAATCATTTTTAAACATTGCTCATTGTTAGTTTTGTTTATTGTTATTCTATATTTTTATTAAATAGCACCGTTATTTAAGGTAAATTTAATAACACTTCAATGTCATTTAGAAAACAAAATTGTCGGAAATAGTGCAAAACCGCGTAACTACCATTGGATTATACCGCGTATCTAAAATACTTTTTTTTTACAGAAGAAATTTATTCATATTTTTTGTAATCTCAACAATAAATATTTGGTGTTAAAATTAATAATATCCGAATAGCCAATGCTAGTAATGCGGATTTGCCGAAACTTTAACTTTTGTTTTTATCTCGCTTGCTTTTTAAGCTTTTATCTACCTTGCAGTTAAAAATACGCAAATATAAATAATCGTTCCTAATGGGATATGACCTTTAACTCCTTTATTATTAAAAGACGCTAATTAATATTTACTGTTTTGCTTTGAAATCGATTGCCAAAGACGCGCGCATGCGCATTTGTTTCGAAAAATCAAAACAACGAAAAGGGATCTATTTAATAATCTTTATTAAATAAATGTAACATTTCAAATGTTCGATTTATTTAATAAAGAAAACATTTTAAATTCTTCTTTATTAAATATATCAAACATTTGAAATGTCATACAGTATAAGTATTAAAAATATATTTTCTTTCATAATTTATTTATAATAGTTTAGATTATATAGCTATTATAAGATATTATTAAGGTATCAATAATATACATGTGGCATTGAAGTTGTTAGAAGCTGATATTTTACATTTTAAGTATGTCTTTTTTGTATGATTTTTTCTGTGTTTGATAGTAAAGCCCTATCTACTAACATTTTAAAACAGTGTACAAAAAGTGATATACCTTTATATACTTATAAAGAGCTTTCTAATATTGCCAGATATTTTGTTTTAAGACCAATGACTAGTCTATAATAATTGATTAAATTATGAGATTAAATCAATAAATAATCATTAAAAAAAATTAAAACGAAAAGACTCAATTTCAGTCATTATTCTTATTTGTCTGATTTAAATTGAAACAATCCTTAATATATTCCATCTTTCTGAGGCAGAGGGACATTATTCTTGGTTTTATTATATTTAATTTAATATCTCTGGATATTTTTCATAATTGGTTTGCGTACAACAGTTAACAACTTTAAGCTTATACATTAACTTTAGTTATAACTTGATTATTAATGATTTGTTTTGTAGACTTTTATAGCAATACAAGATTGAATTTAGCAGAAGGCTAAACTTCTGCTCTGGAGACAAAAAAGGAAGACAGCAAAAATGACCAGCCAAAATAAAGATTAAAGAAACAAAAAATTGTGTATATCTTGGTGTAGAAGATTTATCCTCAATTTCTTATAATAAAACTAAAAATGTTATTAAACTTTAAGATTTACCTGTAACTCTAAACCTTTTACACAAGTTCAATGTTTGCTCTGAGAAGTTGAATGAACAAAGTTTATTAAATGGTAAGTTTTTATATAAAAGTCTTTATGTCAGATGATTGAAAATCTTTATTCATAGCTTTAACTTTTACAATTTTAAAGACTTTTTCATATATTATGGTCAAAAAGTCAGAATGTTAATTAACATTTTATTGTGTTATAATCAGCATATCAAAGCTTACACCACAGGCTTTGTCAGGTTTTTAGTTGTTTTGAGAACATTTAAGTTTATGAACGTAACAAAAATTTTTTGTTGGATTTCAAAGTTGGTGTCACCAACTCTGAAATCGATTAGAAATCAACTGTTGAAAAAAACAACAGAGTATTCATATCAGTTTAAAGTTTTAACAGTTGCTGGTGATTCATTATTATTCATTATATAAACGTTTATTTAAATTTATCTATTAGATGAAGGTAGTATAATATTTTTATAGATGATATTATTTTTAAAAATTGTAATACTAAAATTCAGAAGTAAAATATGTAAAAAAATTATTTGCCAACGTTGGACAAGGTCCGTACACTACCTGGAAAATTTGTTAATATTAGCTAAAGTTGTGGAAAACCTGGAAAAGTCAGGAAATTATTTTTTTCTTTAGATAGTCATGGAAAAGTCAGTAATTCGAGTTAAGTAGTTATTCGTTTCTCAGTTGAATGGTGTATTTTGAAAACGTGAAGTCACACTTTTTTTTAAAAGTAAGGTTGTTTTAAAAAAAAAAATTTTTTTAAGGAAAAGATTTTTTTTAGATAAAATAAAGATTTTTTTAGATAAAATAAACAATTTTTAGATAAAATAAAAATGAAATTTTATACAGGAGAAATGTTTCCTGTAAAATTTTAATTTTGTGACTTGTCACACAGCGCTCAAAATAACGGCTGATCAATGATCGGCTGTTTTAAGAGAAATTTCGAAAAATTCTAGGGAAAATACCCTGTTTTTGTGAAAAAATTACGTTTGATCGGCAAGCTTTGAAAAATTATTTCGAGCGCTGGTCACATTTTCAAAATACAGCGCTTAATTATGCTATTATGTTTTTTTTTTGGTGCTAGCCATTTATTTTTCCTGAAACTTATATTTTTCTTAGTGTTAATTCTTAGTCATCCTTAATAATAAAATCCATACTAACATGTATAAAAATATCTATACTAATATCCAACTTAACTAATAGCTAAGTTTTATAATTTTTGTTATTCAAAGCATGTACAATCATAGCATTTCCATTACAGTAGATAGTAATTTTAAATATTTTGTAAAAACCATTGTTAAAAATGGTCAGGGAAGTTCATCTGATTTTTCAAAAAAGTCATTGAATTTTATATAAATAGTTGGCTACGAACCTTTTTGGAGAAACATTGTTTTACTATGAATTTTTTTGTTTTACAGTGCAATCTGTATCTCAAACATTAATGAGAATTTTTTTGTGTAGTGCCAGAAATTGAATGTACACCTGCAAATTTTGTAATTCATAAAAATATTATGAATCCATTAGCAAGTATTTATTTTTATCATTAAAAGTTTGCCCTTCTGTTTTTAATTTTATCTGTTCTATTAGTGATTGTTGTATTTACTTTCGTAAATTCTAAATATAATATTATTATTAATGTTTTATTACCCTCTGTAAAATAAATTTACAAGGTAAAAACACAAACTAAGAAAAAGATATAAAAAAAAGTATTATTTAGGAATGTTTTTTTCAAGTGTCTTTTTAAAAATTGTTCACTGTTCTTTTACATTCCAACATTGAACCATGTGTACCAAAATATGAAGAGTAGCTTCAGGAATTAAATCCTCTAAGACTTTAAGTTTTACTTTTTTTTTAACCAGCATTAAGGTTTTCATATTCAGTTCATGATTATCACATAATTCTTTTATATCATCTAAAAAAGTAAATTTAGCTGAACAGTAGTTAAGTTGGGAGTTAATGATTTCAAAGGTTGCTTGATTGTTTGAAAGGCGGATAAATAGATTTATTTATATGTAATTAGTTGTATAATTTCTTAATAATATAATTAACTTTATTGTTTTAAGATAAAGTTGTATCCCTAAAAGATATGCTGGTATTATTGGCACTATGGGCAAGCATTGAAGTGCAACTTGGTGAACTACAAAACACATCAAATATAGTTATAAAAATTTGAGTAACAAAGGTATGCTAATTATTGTATTGCCTGAAAGAGTGTCATTAAAAGTAAAGAATTCAAGTACTCTGGAAGAAAAAAGACAAGAAAAGACTTAATTAAATGGTAAATATTTTTTTATGATCTGTTTATGCGTTTTGTATGATATCTTAGTATGATTTATATACATTAAATAAAATATTCATTGAAGATTTTTTGTAAATGACATTTTATATTAATTTAAGTTACTTTAATTATTGCCAAGCTGTGTATTTTTGCAGGTTAATTATTTGACACAAATTAGATTTAAGGACGAAGGAGATTGTATATGTTATTTACTAAGAATAGTTTTTTAAAATGGCCTAGCTGTAAAATTAAGCTATGCAGGTAGAAGACAAAAAATTGGAATAGGAAAAATGTTGCTTGCATATGCTGCTATTGGTAAGTGGTTTAGAAAAGTTTATTTTTTCAGTTTCAATTTTGTATTACAGAATTACTTTCAATTTGTTATGTTTCTTTGGTGCATAATTAAACAAACAACTTTTTTTTTGTGCAGAAACTGTGAAGTCAAATAAGCATAGCTTATGCAGACATTTGATAGAGATAGTGGAAAAAAAATAATAAATAATCGTGGGCACCAAATACCATAAGCTAAACACAATTCAATAACAAGTAGCTCAGCCAATATCGAAACTACTCTATAAGTTTTGTAGTGAATTTTTTTATTTAAAACTCAATGTGTCAGTTTTTGGTTTAGGTTTGTTGTTTGCAATATGTATATTTAACCGAGAAATTATGTTAAATAAATAAATTTTTATACTTGTATCATACATTCTCTTTTTTCTCTATAAATTTTCAATGCAGTGATGCAAATCATCTTATCTGTAACAACGATCTAATGTTGCATAAAACGTTAGGCCGATATATAACATACGATATTGGGCCAATGTTGTATACAACATTAGGCCAATTTTGTATACAATGTTGGGCCAATGTTGTATGCAACGTTGGGCCAATGTTGTATACAACGTTGGCCTAACGTTATATACAACTTTGGGCCAATGTTGGATAAACGTTGTATACAACATTGGGCCAATGTTGTACACAAAGTTGGGCCAATACCTAACCAATGATTAAACCTACATCAGGCCAACATCGACTTTCAACGTTGGGCCAATGCATCATCATACATTAGCCCAACGTTGCACAGTGGGCTAATTTTCAAAAAAGCTGGCCAAAAGTCAAAAAAAAAAATCACTATTTTGAATTTATTATTTTGAAACTACATAAACAAAGCCCTGTTGTATTTTATTGTTTAAGAAAAAATTGTATAAATTTTAAAGTTACCTATATCTACGCAGTTAAACATCTGTTATTAAAAACACATAATTGGCGTTTTAAAAGCAAAAAAAAAATGTGGTTAAATAAGTATCGTTTACAAAAAAGTTATTTATCGTTACTAAAAAACTAACTATGGACGATACTATTCAAGGTATTTATATAATATTTTAGTAAAAAGTTTTATATTATTTCTCTAAATTTTATGCGAAAAGTGCAAACAAAAAAGTACAGAATAAAGTTTATTTATTTTCTTTAACCTATTTTTCAAGCATTGAAAAAGTAGTGAACCCGCGAGATTCCGCTTAGTTATAATTTGGATATTGTTCATAAAAGTGTATTCTAAAGATTGGTTAAAAGAAAAGGCACCTATTTTTGCCTATTACTTCATTAACTTATATTGTGTAGTGCTAGTCGTGTTTTTTAGTAAACAAAATGGCGGTGTTTTGTTTTCTTTACAAAATCAATCAAATTGTAAATAGATATAGTTATTATGTTTCTTGAGAAACTGATTTTTTTAAGTGTTATAAAACTACAATAAAATTAGTAGCACACATGAATGAGATTTTGACAAAGTTAGAGTGTAGGAAGGGGGGGGGGATAAACACCCTCGGTTACGACGTCTTTTTTACCTCAGCTACGACAAGTTTTGTATAGTTTTACCAAATTTTACAAAATCAGTTTCTCAAAAAACATAATAACTATATCTATATACAATCATATGATTAACAGTATATTTTACCTTTCTCTTATATATCGAATTTATATAAAATAATATATTATCGATTACTTTTTATTTTATTTTTAATTAGTTTAGTAAAGTTATAATGTTTTTATGATTTTTTCAATTATTATATTTTCAATTAATATCTAAGGTTCACAAAAAGATCATTTGCAAATTCCTCGAATTGAAATTTTTGAAATTTTAAAAACCGAGTTATCTTCAGATCTAGATGACCAGCTTGATATTTTGCAATCACAGTTGTGTCTAAGAAGAAAAATTTGTTTCCAATTTTCAACAGATGATAAAAAGAAACTAAAAAATGTATTGACAAAATTAAAAATAAAATGGAAAAGTAGTAACCGAACAAAAAAAAATATTTTTGAAGACACATGACACTTGGTTAAAAGTTAAACTCTGAAACTCATTCGTCTGTGATTGAGTTTATCAACAATATTTCAATAATAAATGATTCAGATGACAGTGGTGATTTATTTTAAAGTCATATAAATGAAACAATTATGATAAATGATGCAAATAAAAGTTTTTCTTGTTTTCCTTGAACAAATAAGTAATTAGAATAAATAATGAATTTTTCAATTTATTTTTCTTAACATTGCGGCATAATAATACGGTCATAATACATTATATATCAGTATTATATATAATGTTTATATATGTAATGTAAATAATACATTAGTCTATTGAACTTAAATGTCGAATTAAAACTAATTGGTTAAACACGAAGGCCCAAAGGCATTTCTAATGATTAATGTTTTTAAAACACCGCCATTTTGGATCTGCCATTATTGAATTTTGGTACACTTATGTAAAATTCAAAGTTGGGGATTCAAAAAAATGCTATACAGAAATTTTCCATTAATTATAATCATTTTTTGACTTTTGGCCAGGTTTTTTGAAATTCCGCCAACTGTGCGTTGGTCCAATGTAAGCTTGCTGTCTGGGATTGAGGCAATTGCAACAAAAAATACTTACTTTCTTAATAATAAGTCCCAATAAGTAATTATAATATAATAATAAAAAATAAGTCCCAATAAGTACTTTCTTAATAATAATGTCCCAATAAGTATATGTCAATTTCTGGCAAATAAGGTCAAGGAACTTAAAACTTTTCGAAAGTTTTTAAAAAGTTTTAAGTTCCTTGATCACCTTGTATTTAAAAAAAGAATAATTTTAAACTAACTTGCATTAAATTATGAAAGTCTGCGCGAACACTTTTTTAAATTCATAGATAATAATCATTAAAAAAAAACTCAAAATTTAACAATTTTTCTGATAAAAATTTAAAAAACTTAGAGAACCTAGAAACAAAGAGAAAAACATAACACAAATTAAACATTTGCTTCGACCATTGACCCAAAGTATATACATTTAAACTGTAGTAGCTAGTTTTTTTATTAAGGTTTATTTATTATAAAACAACTAATAAATCCCTGGATAATAATATGATTTACTTTTTAAATTAAACTGATAATATTCATAAATTGAAGAAACTTTTGTTTGATATTTTATTATAATTAAATATAAATTTTTGATGTTTAAAAAAGTTATTTTGATTTTAAAAAATGATTATAAAATACTTCAACAAACTCATTAGTAATAATTAAACAAACTCAGAGAGCGTAGTATGAAAGATGACGTCAGTGTTTTTATAGATCTTGGTTAAGATTTTGCAACTAGCCGTAGGATCATAAACATCAAAACTTAAAATATAACTGTTTGTGTAGTGGTAAATCGGCAAATATTTTTTTATGTACCTTTTTTGTTATGATAAAAATGTTTATTTAAACAAAATACAAATCCACGGGTATTGCAATTTAAGTTACCGATAGCAGTTAGAATAAAAAAGTGTTCAAAACATTGTAGAAACCAGGTCTTTCTAAGATTTCAGGTTGTGTTATCTCAATAAATTTATTTTTTACAATTGAAAACTATTTACAATACTTTTCAGTTAAGATGTGATTTGAGCAAACAGAAGACAAAAACCTAATCATCTAGCCCCGAATATTTTTAAAAAGTTGAAATTTCGTACAGTCATTTGCTGCTAATTCACAGGGCCAACGACACGAGTTTTGAAGTGGGGGGCACAATCATCAATTTGTGAAAAAAGTTGTCTATATCAAGATTTTTCTTTAAAAAAAAAAAAAAAAAGGATAATTTTGTGTAGGGGGGAGGCGGGGGGAGGGGAAGAGGCACGTGCTCCCTGGCCCCCGGTGTCGTCGGCCTTAATTCACACTCAAAGTATTCGAACAACTGTTGTAAGCTTGTGCTTCAATTGAGACAGGAATCCGATGAAGATTGCTTAAAATTATTTAAAATACAGAGAATCAAAACCTTTTAAAAATTTTGCTTCATATCCCTTGGTATAACAACATAGATTGGGAAAAAACTCAGCAAGTTGAAGCTTTTCTAAACCTTTCGACCGAACAAAAGGACAATAAAAAAATTTAGTAATAGTAACAAACTTAAAATGAATTTAAACTGTTTACAGTTTAAAGTCATCAATATATTGATCTTCTATATATTGATATAGATTGAGCTTGAAGAACTAAATCGTTATTTATTACTCATTTTTACTTAGACCTTTTATTATGATTTATCTATGTTTCACTGCGGTAATATGTTTGTTTAAACAAAGTTTTTGGTTCAATCTTTTCTTATACATAACAAATTAAAAATTACAATAGTATTCTTTAATTTATTATGTATAAGAAAAGACAGACAGTATTTGCAAAACTGTCAGTCATAAGGCAATAATATTTTGTAGATTTTTCTCTAAATCTCAAATTCTTCCTTGTATGGAATACTGTTGCCATAACTGGAGGTGATCTTCGAATGACGTCCTTTCTCATTTAGACAAAGTATAAAAACGCATTGTAAACATAGTTGGACCTGCTCATGCAGCAAACCTTATTTGTCTAGTTTTTTTCATTAGTTCTTTGAAATCCGCTCTCTTTATCTTGTTTTCCCTGATTTGCAATCTTTTAAGTTATATATAAGTTAATTGTAATCTTGCATTATAAACTTCACCTTTTCTCTTTTCTCAGAGTTTTCTTAATTCTAAGAGTTGTTAGAAGATAACGTGTTTAAAAAAAAATTATATATATATACATATATATATATATATATATATATATATATATATATATATATATATATATATATATATATATATATATATATATATATATATATATATATATATATATATATATATATATATATATATATATATATATATATATATATATATAAATTAAATATAAATGTATATATATATAAATTAAATATAAATGTATATATATATATATATATATATATATATATAAAATAAATATAAATGTGTATATATATATATATATATGTATATATATATATATATATATATATATATATATATATATATATATATATATATATATATACATATATATATATATATATATATATATATATATATATATATATATATATATATACATATATATATATATATATATATATATATATATATATATATATATATATATATATATATATATATATATATATATATATATATACATTTATATTTAATTTTTTTCGTACTTCTATAAATTAAACACAGCATATTGTTTGAAAAATGTGAGAATAATTTGAATAAGGTTTTAAAAAAAATATTAAATTTTAATAAGATTGGAAAATTGTACCTTAAAACCGTCTTTCCTTAGCCCCCTCTCTCCTCCGACCTCTACTCTTACTAGATATCTAGTTTAATTTATAGAAGTACGAAAAAAATTTTTTTTGGCATAGTGGAACCAGACCATATGGTCTGGTTCCACTAAGCCAAAAAAACTAGATAAACTTATTAGACGATCTGGATCCGCCCCTGAGATATATATATATATATATATATATATATATATATATATATATATATATATATATATATATATATATATATATATATATATATATATATATATATATATATATATATATACATATATATATATATATATATATATATATATATATATATATATATATATATATATATATATATATATATATATATATATATATATATATATATATAAAACTTTCCCAAATTAAAATGGATTTTCAAATACCGTGTATTCATTAAATTTTCAAAACTATTCTCAAACTACAAAATAATTTTATTATAACAAATTATTGAGTTTTTCTTTTAACTTTATATTTCTGCATACGCTATTCGCTTTTTTTATTCTTCTGTATACAACATTTTATTTTATATTATTCTTCTACATACACTATTTTATTAATATTTAATTTGACTTTTACTTAAAACAAATTTAAATTCAAGTTGTTGTCTCAATTGGAATTGAAGAAAAAAAAAAAACCTAAAATATATTTTTTATCTTGACATAATTACACGCGCGCTCGCGCGCGCATAAGAGTTATTCTGATTTCTTTCTTTAATATACTTTTTATTTTAAAACTTAATACTTTGTAAACGCAGTTAATAGATTTTTACATATTGTTATACATACATATTGTTTTAAAATTATTTTTTTGTTAATAAATAGCCCTACAATGATAACTAATAATTCATCATTACATATTCCATTAACTTATGTTTCTCAACTAACCCCTGATGTTTCAACTCGATTGGCAGCTTGTTTCATACTAATTATTATTTTTGGAATTATATTCAACATAATTTTGATACTTGTTATACTGTCTGAGAAAAAACTTCGCTCAATAACAAACGCCTATATTATCAATATAGCCATAGTTGACTTACTTATTGCGACAACAGTTGTACCGTTTGATATTGATTTTATGTTAAGAGGAAACTATCCATATGGAACAATACTTTGCGGTTTCAAAGAAGTATTGTTTTTGTTTACTCTTCCGTCATCTGTTTTAAATCTCTTGTTGCTAACAATAGAAAGATTTGCTTCGGTTTTCTTTCCCTTCAAACGAACTAAATACTTTTCAAAGCGTATAGTTTTAATTTCAATATTGTGTAGCTGGATGTACACCATAAATGTTGGTTTATACCCTATTTATATTAACGGACTTTCCGCTATTACAGTGATACAAAAAACCTGTGCGCTCAAATTTTCAATTGAGTTTGGAATTTACTTTGTTTCAGTTAACTTTCTTCTTCCAGTTCTCATAATGACTGGTTTGTATTTTTCACTATTTTTAATGGCTTTTAAGTATATAAAAAAATCGAAAAAATCGAAACAGTCGAATTGCTTTCAGAGGAACTTAAAAGTTGCAAAAACAAGTTTTTTACTGTTTATAAACTTTCTTATTTGTTGGGGAAGTTTTATAGTTTTAGCATTGTCAAATACGTTGTGTAATGGTTGTCACTCACGAGAGATAACGTGGATCGGCAACGTTATAAATTACTGCCATATTGTGTTTAACCCTTTAATCTATGGCTTGCTAAACGAATCCTTACGTAAAGCAATTTTTAAGAAAATTTACAAACCACTTTGTTGATTTGAAATTTGTATTAATAACTTATATTTAATCAAGCACGTGAATATCGTGAAATAATAACTTTTTAAACAACATAAATTTATAAAATACGTTAAGAAAAAAAAAAAAGTCAAAATGTTGACCATTGCACAAAAGATTGAAACTGTTTGAATGGCTCACACATTGTTAACACATTTTTTGACATCATTGCCCCCCAAAAAAATCGTTGCACTCTTATGTAAACAACGTTAGATTAGCGTAATACAAAATATTAACAGTATTGTATTGAATCCGTTATTATGAAAATTAGAATTATTTTGAAAGCTACTTTTAACATTTTTAAATTTTAGCATCTAGAATTTTTCATTCTGTTAATTACCAAATGATTTCATCTGGTACCTAAACTGTGAGTATTTGCGATTGCTGCATAAGTAAAAAACAATTCTTTTTTTCTTCATTTTCAATAAATATGAAAAATCAGTTTTAAAAAAAACTATTAAAAGTAGTAATAAACATACGATTAAAAAAGTTTATGGCGGTAGGGAAGATGGGGGGGGGGGGTAGAAGTCACAATTATTTAGTCTTTATTTTTTTGAATATTTAAATGTAATTACATAAGAGGTTCATGTTAATTCTGAATGTAAAAATATTTTCTGAGTGTTTTTATGTAATTATACAACTAATAGTATATAATTATATTATTTCTATCGCTATTATTCAATATTAAAATCACATTATCGCATTAATATTAGGATTTGTTTGCACTTCAACCGCCATAAAAAGATAAATAATTAAAAACTTTCATTTGTTATCATTTTCTGAACGTACTCCAGCAAAAACTTCATTTGGAGATGCTCTACTTTATACTCCAACAAAAACTTCATTTGGACTTTATATTTCTAATAAACTAATTTATAAATCTAGAAGTTATTTAATTACCCAGCTTTTAAATGTCTTTTAAACGTTTTCTAAATGTTCTTCCGTAAAGAACGTTTAAAAGACGTTTAAAAAAAGTTTAAAAGACATTTAGAACGTAACTTTTAAAAACAAATGCCCGTTAGGTATGTATAAGCCCAATTTTCAGAGTCTGTTTTTGTTGAAATCATCTTTCCTAAAAACTCTAATATTATAGTAGTCTGTGTTTATCGCCATTTTTATAATAGGCAATTATTTTATTATAGATCTTATAAAAGCAAACTCAGGTAATTCAATTTCGGAGTATTTGAACACCATTGCTTCAAACAACTTTCTTTCTTTTATATCCTAACCGACAAGAATTACCAATCACTCAAGTACTTTAATTGATAATATATTTTCTAATTCAACTTCTAAATATATTTTCCCCTTCAATCTAACTATTAAAATAACGGATCATTTGCCACTGATTTTAATTTATTCATCTTTTAAGAAAAGAAATATTAATTCTTGTAAAAGCAATATTCCTCTTCGAAACTTCAAAAAACTAAATAGTAAAGAATTCAGGAATGAATAGTTAAAAAAAAACTGAGATAAAGTAATCAAAGTTTCCAATCGTAATACAGGGTCTGGTCATTTTTTTCATACAATGACATTTTGTTTTGTTTCTATGTAATGTCATTGTTTTTCGATTTTTTTCAGTTGCTGCCATGAACTGGAATGGTGACCATTGCGCTTTTATCGTGGAAACGTTTATCAAAAAAAAACGAAAAAAAAAACTGGGGTCGAAACAAACAAATCTGCAACTGCAACACTAAGAGCATTCCATTTGCACTTCAATCTTGGTAGTCACAGTCCCGTTCCTGCTAAAAACATGATCTTGTTATGGGTTACCAAATTCAGAGCTACTGGGTCTGGATTGAAACGAAAGTCGACCAGTAGACCTCGCACCGCCAGAACTCCAGAAAATGTGGCAGCGGTAAGAACTTCAGTTCAACAGCCTCCGCTCCGTTCCATATTTAAATGATCTCAGGCTCTTAGACTATCCGAAAAAAGTTTGCAAAGAATTCATCACAATGATGTTCGATGGAGACTTTGAGGAAGATATTCCCAGGTTACTTGATCTCATCGCATGGTCCAAATTTATTCTCTCAATTGCTACTGGTATATTCCCTAATACTTTGAAAAACTGCATTTGTTAAACTAATCCATAAAAAAGACTCAAAACTTGACTGCAATAACTATAAACCAATATCATTATCAAATATCAGCAACATTCTTGAAAAATTAATGTATTCTCGTATCTACCACTTGCTTGATAATTAATTCTCTACGGTCTCTACGGTCGCTATTTCGAATTTCGTTTAAAACACTCTACTTCCCATGCACTTATTAGCATTATTGAAATGATTTGTGGTTCAGTTGGTAGTAGTTCTTTTGCTTGTGGTGTCTTTATTGATCTCCAAAAAACATTTGATACTGTTGATCACAAGATTTTAATTAAAAAATTGTATCATTATGATATACGGGGTATCGCTAATGATTGGTTTTCATCGTATATTAAAAATCGCACTCTTTACTGTTTTTAATAATTTAAGACGTCTTCAGAAAAGAGGTCGAAAAGACGTCAATCGGTTGTTAATAAGGAAATCATTATTTGCTTATAAAAATTAAAAATAATTATTGCCAATAGAACCTAACAAAAATGAGTTTTAACCCACAGTATCGTAATTACGATATCTTTGTTACGTTCTGATTGGCCTGTTTTTTGTTTACAAAATACTTTTATATAACTTTTTTTATGTGAAACGTTTTTGCATAGGAAATTTAATTATAAATTAACTTATATATATATATATATATATATATATATATATATATATATATATATATATATATATATATACATACATATATACATACATATATATATATATATATATATATATATATATATATATATATATATATATATATATATATATATATATATATATATATATGTATTATATATATATATATATATATATATATATATATATATATATATATATATATATATATGTATATATGTATATATATATATATATATATATATATATATATATATATATATATATATATATATATATATATATATATATATATATATGTATATATGTATATATATATATATATAATATATATATACATATATATATGTATATATATATATATATAATATATATATATATATATATATATATATTCATATATATATATATATATATATATATATGTATATATATATATATATATATAATATATATATATATATATATATATATTCATATATATATATATATATATATATATATATATATATATATATATATATATATATATATATATATATATATATATATATATATATATATATATATACATACTGAAATAAATATACAATTGCAGCTGCTTAGCTAAAAAATGTTAATCGGAAAAAGCAAAAGTGGATGGCGTGGTGCCAGTAAGATGGTATCGATATGATCTAGTCTCAATTAAGTTAGTCGCAGGTAAATGCTTTAAAAAAGTTTGACCGTTTATTTTTAGACTAATTTTTTAATGTATTGTGCTTGAAGAACGTTGTTTATTACATATTAAATTAAAATATTTATTTTCAGACGAAAAATAAAACCTGTAAACAATTTCTCTCTATATTTACTGGTTAAGTACCACCCAGCAGGCAAAACTACGTTTTTTAAACGTTATAAATACGCATATTAAAATCGTATGAATAACGTCTTTTTATAGTATAAAATGCAAATCTGAAACTACGTGTTAAAAAGCCGTCTTTTATGCGTATTGAAAATACGTAATTTATCCCTAATAAAAATACGCTTTTAAAATGTTTTTTATACGTTGAAGCTAAATGTATAAAATGCGTCTTTTTTTAGTTTAGATCGCAAATCTAAAAAAACGTGTTTTGAAGATGTTTTTTAAAGCTAAGTCACAATGCGCCTTTTAAAGAAATTCAAACCATAAAAAATGACATATAAATTTTTAGTTTGAGTTGATCTTTCTGTTAAAACAATATACATATATATATAAAAAAATAAAATAAATTAATGCTATTTTGGTGAAAGTCTTAACTCTGCAGGTGCATTTTTCAACTTGTTTGCTATAATTTTTCGGATCGAACTTTGATCGGCATTGTTCCATTTTAAACATAACTGCATCTATAAGTTTATTAACATTAATACATACATTATATGTGTAAATAAAATATAAAACAATAAGTACAGATAAGTAAAACTAATCTCACCATAAATTACACTACTGTACTCTAATTTATCAAATGCAATCTTTGTTGTTAAAGAACCTTTTCGGTCTTTTCCCTTCATATTCATTTTCGAGCGTAGTTCAACACTGAATAATCTGAAAAATGAAATGATATGAAAAAGTTATATAATTAAACAATTAACCAAAAATAATACAAAACCAATTAATAAAAAAAAGAATATTTAAATCAAATTCAGTAAATTTTATATCTAAATTAATGCATCTAAAAACTTTAGAATTGCTTCAAGATTAAAATAATACAATATAAAAAGTAAAGTAATTATAAATTTACTTTGTTATTATGTTGCGTGTATGTCTTTCAAAATTATCCCCACCAATAGCTTTTAGCTTTTCCACCTACAAGTAAATGAGAAAAAAGGTACTTTAATATAAAAATTTCACCAATCAGAGAATAATTCAATAAACCTTCATTTTTTCCAGAAATAGAAAAATCTATAACCCAGTTTAAAAGCATAAATGCATAAATATTGCAATGAGATCAAAAAAGGAATAAATAATCTCCACCATTATTTTACAAATACGGAATTAATAGTGTGAACTATTGATATAAAAATTCTGTACTGCCTTGAAAATTTTCAAAAAAATTTCAATAATACTTGCAAAAGGTCCATAAATTAGTCTATTGCACTTTTGGAAACTGGAAATTTCCAGATGCGCCACTAATCTAAATTTTAAAAGTGCTATATTTATACATATAAATGATACATACCAAAATCTTCTTTACATCCATGTTCTTTAATCTATTATTTTCTATTTCCAATGTTTCAACATCCATTATCATATTTACATCATTCGAACTTTCATTATTTTTGTTAACTTTTAATAATGTATTTATTCCATCTCGTATCTCAATTAATAACGAAAGGGTTTTTTTTTGATATTCTAAAATAAAGTTTACAATAAAATATAATTTAACACAATATATTTAGATATAAAATAATTTCAAATATATTGATAAAAGATATAAAACATACTAGCTAATGGCATAAGACACTCTTCTGATAAATGGAGTGCAGAACTCCCACCTGATTCAAAATCTGATTCCAGACTCATAGC